AAGCGTTTTCTTCTCAAAATATTTTGACTTTTCATTTATTGTGCAGATACATATATATTTAGTCTTCTATTCTCTAGTTCTTTCTTCACTTGTTTTCAATTGTATATGGAATTTCTTTCGTTGAAACTTGTTCGTTTAACCGATGATGTCAGAAGTAAACTGACGAAACTGCTCAGCTGAAAGCTTTCTATCTACCATGTTTACAAATGTGGCATTTATTTTATTTTCCTTATATATTCTTAAAACTAGGAGTATTTCCTCATCTTTGGAATAGGCAACAATTCGAGCTATTCATAAAAAGGAAAGTACATTTTTTGTTAAAAATTATCGTCCCATTTCTTGTTTCTAATGTATATAAAGTTTTCGAAAGAAGTGTCCAAAAACAACTTTTTCCCCTTTTAACGTTGACAAACTTCTTTCTCCTAATCAGTTTGACTTTCGTCCAAATGGATTGACGGAAGATGCGCTACTTTCGTCGCAGATACAACCTGTAAATGTTTAAATAAACTCCAAAGAGTGGTTGGCATTTCTTTCGATTTCAAAAAGGCATTCGACCGTGTATCACACTAAATTCTACTGAGAAAACTATTCTTGGCCAGTGTGTCTGGTGCTCTATGTGACTGGTTTAAGTCATATCTATCTTAGCGTACACAGACGTAGCAGTGGGATCTGCTCATTTTGCTCGAGAAAAAAACGTTTTTCGTCTGAAAATCAGTACTTTTTGCTAAGCTAAGTAAAACAAACACTTTCCTATTTCAGATTAAGCAAGTTAGTTTGGTTTTCTCTTTTTTGTCAACAGTCTTCGAGAGCAGGACTAATGACCTCTACTATGTAAATCTTCAGTTCGCTTTTCCTTCTTCTTTAATGTTTTTTGCGCTACTATTGGGGCTAAAATACAAGGCCGGCGGTTCAACGTTTAGCAAGCCGTATTATTACCAGAAACTTCAATTACGAAACTGATAGTCTATCTCTAGTCAATAAACTAGGTTTGCCCGATCTCAGTGTCAGACGCCAGTACTTTCGACTCATATCATTTTACAAAATTTACAATAATTTGACTCTTCTCGAATCTCAAGATTTCCTTGCTAAATTGACGTCTAGGTCTCTCCGAGCAGCGCATTCTTATACGGTTGACATACCCTTCACTCCTTTCGAAACTGTCCAGTCATCCTTCTTTTGGAGTACCGCAAAAGACTGGAATACTAAAGATCTAGAAAAAGTCGTTTCCATCAATTCTCTCAAAACCTTTAAAAAGGCTTTAAAAGAACATCTTTATCTTTAGTCGTTCTCTGTTTTCCAATCTTTGTTTTTCATCATTTGTAAGCAAGATGAGTGTAAGTTAGCGGAGGAACAACAGTGTGGCAGCGTAAAGTATAACTTGTATGTAATGCACTCATCTTGCCCCAAAAACTAGTGTGAAAAGCATTTCTCTCGCTATTTTTAGTTGTTGGTCATGATAGGCAGAAACCATGAATTCCATATATATTTTTCTGTTGCAAGTCATTCTTATGTCTGAACTTTTATTATGTACCATGGTATGTTACCAAAATAAAAAGAAAGAAAGAAAGAAAGAAAGAATGACCTCTACTATGTGAATCTTCAGTTCGCTTTTCCTTCTTCTTTAATGTTTTTTGCGCTACTATCGGGGCTAAAATACAAGGCCGGCGGTTATCTTTTGTATAACTCAAAAGGAAGAAAAGATAGACACTTGCGGTTATCAGCATTCGCCAGCCAAGGCCTGATGCTATGTTTCCATATGCAAAAATGAATTTAGTAAAATTTCAAAGATCGTTTCTTCTGGAGATGTGTGGAAAACCATTTCGGTTCTCTGGAAGCTGACATAGAAATCTATGGATTTGTTTTCATACATATGAGTCATTTGCAACTTTATTGTACAATCGAGTTTTTGTCGTATTTTTAAAATTACTCCGGTTTCTGGAAACGGATTTCGAATTCTTTTTTTTTGCTTTATCGCTTATCGCTTGCTTCACTACCACAGAAAATCTCAGCTCGATATCTCAATAACTCACCGAGATAAACCCATCAAAAGTCGACAAAAACCTGTTTCTAGATGATTTATTGAGAGAAAAGTAGGTTTTTCTAACAAAAGAAAGAACGAAAAGGAAATAGTACGTTTTGTAGAACATTTAATGTTCTGTCATACTGTATGCCTTCACTTGTTTTGTTTTTTTGTTTATGCTCGCCTATGGCGAAATTTTTTTTCGCGGGGAATGTGAGATGCTCATAAGTAAGAGCAAGGGTGGCTGCACCTAACTGAATAAAAATGCTTTGTTAAGCGTCTTTCCTACTACGCGAAAAAATGGAAAATAGAGTTTTACGCTCACTATGTAGATCGAGATTTTCCAACTTTCGACATCCGCTGTTTCACAAGAACTTGCGGTTACGTATTTCTGATGTTGAGTTTCTCTAAAGTGGCTGGCCACCTGTAGGCTATAAACTTTTCGTTTTATTTTTGAATAAAGCGAAAAAACGAGAAAATTTAAAAATTGTAACACAAAACTAACTGTGAAAATGGTTGTCTTTCATTAGATTTGAATTTTTTAAAAAAAAGGATAATAAGACGACAATTTCCAAAAATTGAAAGAATATCTCAGTTTTTAGCCACTGAAAACGACATACAGTGAGCGTAGCAGCCTTAGATATCATGGAAAAGAAGTGCAATGTTGCAAGAAGGTAATTACATGCAAAGAAAACAGGTTCTCACTAGCACTTTACCGTCAAACACTGTGAAAAGACAGTTTTTCAAAGAAAAATATGGTATGGATCGATAGATCTCTTCGAGACCTATCGAATGGTGTATGATATATCCGCTTTTAAAGCAACCACGAGATCATTATGGCCTAAAGCCTAGAGAACGGAATCTGCCGAAGTTTGTTGAGGTTTATCTCAGCCGCTACGCATGTTCTAGTCGGGAAGTTTGGCTTCTAGACTCAGAAAACAACCGAGAACAAGATGTACTAATCAACTTTTGTTTAAAGTCACTTTCATTCTTCGGAAAAATAGTTGTAAAATCATAATAGTGTACAAACTGAAATGAATCAATATACGACGTCGATCTTACGGAAGGCAACCGTTCCGACGGTGGGTGGAGTTTTTGGGTTGAAAAGCCCAAGGGCGACGAATAAATCGGTCTTTTGTGCGAAGAGTATTGTAAAATGCAACGCTCTTCGAGACCAGCTACCACCATCACCGGATTTTTCAAACTAGCGTACTTCCTTCACCACCCACATTACCGATCCATTCTAACTGTTCTGACATCACCATCTTTTGAACGTCATCGTCAATCAATTGATCATAATGTCCTTCTGCTGTTGCCATTTCTGTTCTTTTGTTTTTTCCCTTTTCTTTTGCTCTTCTTCGTCTTCTTTACTGTAATTTAATTATATTGGATGACGCACGATGATGATAATGAAGAGATACAAGAATTTATTTTTATTTATTTTGTTTTTCTATAGAATAATATAGTAGTAGTGGTAATACTGGTTAGAGAGAGAGAGAGCACAATAATTAATTTCCACTGAGTGTGTATCTGACCTTGGACAATTCACAGTAAAAATTTGAGCTCAAAATATTTCCAAGAGTTATCTTAACATAAAGGGTCAAAAAGTAGGTGTGCGTGTGTCCTAGATTTCTTCCGCAATTCTAATAATACAGACTTCGGAGTGGTGTCAGAAACGATTTCGACTATCCAAACGAAAATATATGATCGGCCAACCCGGTCACAAGTTTTTGATCGTTTACTGGCCCGGTCGCGAAAATCTTGACCGGTTACATCTATGATCCTTTGAGATTATGAAAGCCCTTCCTCGCAACTTCTCACTCGTAGAACATATTATCGTCTTGCTTATTCTCATAAACCATACAATGAAAGAAGTGCTTTGTCTGCTAAAAACCTAATTACTCCGCCAACGAATCGACGTTCGTCTGAAATAATCAAAACGAAACTGATACAATGCTTGCGTAAGAGATACTAATGAGATCATTAATTTATCATATGATTCTTTTATACTCGTCAAGCGTATATTTTATATCTTTTATGATAATCATTAATTTTTCATTGAAGACTTCTGACATGCAGAGAAAAAAGCTCATCGATGTAGATTTGGAAGGACAAAGTGTATGATGCCATAATTCGTATATAAAGAAATTGTACTTGTGACAAGCTCAGTTCTCCTTGAAAACCCATTTTTGAAAAGAATTCTAAATATTTTCTGCTTATGAAAACATGCTCTTAGTCTTGACTATTGAATAGCAAAAATTGCGAGTCTTCATCTACTTTCGTTCAACAGTTATTCAAAGAACGGACACTGCTCTTGTATTTTGGAACCGATAATAGTGTTATTGTGTCCCGTTGTGAAGTGGTCTCTGTTGTTAAACTTATATCTTGAGAAGACTTGTATATAATTTATCTAATTTCATGAAAATATATTAAGAATAAACACACTCTTTCCTTTACTCTCAGAATCAGAACTATATATACTCTCGAAAATTCTGTTATAAATTTCTCGAAGATTGACGCATAGATCTAATGTCACATACAAACTCGCAATTTTTGCTATTCGATAGTCAAGACTAAGAGCATGTTTTCATAAGCAGAAAATATTTAGAATTTTTTTCAAAAATGGTTTTCAAGGAGAACTGAGCTTGTCACAAGTACAATTTCTCGATAATGTCAAACAGAGAGTGAACTTTAGATTTTCGATTTGTAATGGTAACTACTTTTAAAAACTGTTCCTATTGTCTTTCTTTAAGTGTTTTACTTTACTTTAGATGTCACTAACTAATTCAAGTCTTTTTTATTAATAATTTCTCATCAGCATCATTTGGATAAATTCGTAACGGCACTGATCTATCTGGTGCATTTAACAACGCGGTTACCGTACAAAAAAAACAGTTACTTTAAGTAAAATGTTTTATGTAAAATGTGAGAATACTAAACTTTGCGTTTCTCACTATGTATTTAATGTAAAATTTAGATTTTACTTGATTTTATTTTCAGAGTTAATATGTTGAAGTTGCAGTGGAATTGTAATAAACAAATGTGATAAATATCTGATAAAAAACGGTATTATCTGTAACTTTGATGTTAGTTTTATTAAACGTTGATCATTAACAACTGTCATGCTTGGATTCGATTCATCAACTTTGAATTGTGGCGGTTCATCACTATCCATGCCATAAAAGTATCCAACGAGAATTGTCATTAAAGAGATGAATAGAAACTGAATCAAATAAATGGGTTTTAATAACCATGATGTTGTACCACGTTTTCTATTAGATGGTAATGGTTGTAAAAGTTTTTCCACAACTGGATCAGTCGTTAGTTTACCGTTTGCATCATATGTTTGTCTTATTCTACTATCATAGGCAAATAAACTGTGATATTTTGGATTTTGAACAATTGATGTGACAACTGTTAATGGTTTCAACAGCGAACAAAATGTTAAATCCGCAGCCGTAAATTCATTATTAAATAAATATTGTTTTTGTCCAAGATCATGAATAATATCGTCCAGTAACTGCTTTGTTTTTTCATAAATTCCATCTTCTTTAACACGATGTATACGATAGCGTGAAATAACAAAACAAGAAAACACATATCCAAATAAATAGGATCGTATATCATGTGGATTTGATGCCCAAGCAAATTTTTTACCACCAAATACCATAGCCAATTTCGATGATTGTTCACCAATTAATTGTAAATAAGCTAAACGTCTTGTATACAAGCCAAATGTTGAATCTAATTTCAAACAAAAATCAATAATTCGTTGTCGATTATTATTTAATGGAAATAAGTTTTTTGTTTGAGGATATTGTTCTTCTAAATAGATTAAAATGTGAGTTGAATCACAAATGAATAAGTCATTATTATTTGGATCTTCTAAAATGGGTACTAATTTTTTCATTGTCTTCGGGGCCCGTTTCAGATCGGGCGGTGGTTTACGTGGATTAAACTCAATCTTTTCATACGGTAATGATTTAAAATCTAATGCCCATCGAATTTTGTCACAATAATGTGAAATAGACACTACATATAAACGTAATGGTTGCATCTATAATGGACAGATTTCTGTTGTTAGTGTGCCTTTTATTTTTGTTAAAACTTACGTTGTTGTCTTACAGTTACTTTTTTATTTAAATTCACAATTATCTACATCTATTAGTAACCTAGTTTAAAGAATCTATATTAATGTTAAAATGTGTCTTTTATGCAAAGAAAAACATTTGCCATTACCATACAGCACGTTTGTGTTTTTCACTTTCCTGTAATGTCTTTTATGTTTTTTATTCTTCATTATTTCGCTTTTTTCTTCCTCTATATACAGAAGAAGAGAAAAAAATCGAGAAAGTTGTCATGACCTTATGAGAACACAAATAAAACAAAATGATATAGAAGAAAAGCTTTTTTATTCTCTTAACTTTCTAAGAATAAACACAACAAGTTTCTTCGTATCTAAACCGCCTTATCTAGGAAAGTATTTACTCACGGCTGAAAATAGCCATTACGGCAAAGTTAAATGTATTACTCAATTTATGTCACAGAAAACTGTCGGAAGAACTATAATGTCATTGAAACATAGTAAGCACAAAAATAGAATCTGTTGAGCTCACAAAGGACGGGGGCGATAAGAGGCAAAATCAGCCCCCTCTCAGATCAAGCTGATGTTCACAAGTCTGATGTAGTTTTTCTCCGAGACTACCACCTTACATGGACCAAGAATATGATGCTAATATCAATTCAAAAATTGTCGATAGTTGAAAAAATCAAACTTTTCACGCACGGTGTTTATGCGGCCATTCGCCGTCGAGCTCTAAAACCCTTTTCCTCATCGAGGGCAGGAAAAAAGGATATACTCCTCCTCTTGATGTTTTTTTTGACTGGGTAGTAACCTTAAGTACCTGTTACAAGATAATCGTTTTCGACCTTCGTTAACTTTTCGTCGTCAGCTGACTCACTAAAGTGTTTCAAAAATTTGAAACACACTCAGTCGTATTCAGAATTGATTTTTCTATCTAAAATATATCAAAATTAAAAATAAAAACACGGTTCTGTATTTTTTCTAGGTCAAGCTGAAAAAACAGAGAAAAATACCATTTTTTGGGCACTTCGATCTAATATTATGGGAAAACAAAGTATTGATCCCATGAGTGAAATACGTGACTCGATTCAGCTTTTTATGCTCTGTTCGAATATAACCTCAAAATTGGGAAAAAAGTTGTCGAACATAGTTAAAAACTCAAAATACATATAGCTCTCTTTTATCAGCCAATAATGACTAGATCAGTCATATCAAAATTCGACCGAATATTTGTAGAGAAGCGACTTTAGAGATTTTTACATATTCAGAATCAGCGCGACGAGTTACGTTGTATGGTGCAAAGATCTCGTTGGGATCCAGACGATTTTTGGGCCCGGTGGCTCCGCTGTAGCTTCACGATATATTACACTATATTCAACAGCAGACATCAAATACACTTCGTTTACTTTTCTTTTCTTTGATCCTATTTTGTGTCTGCTTCATATATTTTTCTTCTGTGCTCGTGCATTTAATGTTTGTTTCACGTTATTTTTCTTAAGGAGCAAAATAAGAAAACGAAAAAATTGTATACTTCTGTCGAGATATTCATTTCTTCTATATTCGAAAGAAGCGGTGAATTTATTCTATATTCTGGCGACTTCTCGAATTAAAATTAAACTAACTAGACAGGACCCATTTCCACGTTTTAAACTAGTTTGACGTACACAAGTTGTACTATATTCTGATGTGTTTTCCAGAAAAAGATCCCTTTTAGTTTTCAAGATATGTGGCTTCAATACTGGTGATTAACGTTTCAAAACTCATATTTTCTTCTTTTACACTCGGGAGTTAGATAAACTCTTTTTGATCATCATGACTTTCCGACTTTCTCTTGGGTCGTGATAGTTAGATTAAGTGTTACCGATATACTTGTCTTGTCCTCTTTGTATAGCACTAACCGGTAATTATCAAGTAAATTTAATACGAGGAAGCTAAAACCAAAATAATGAGAGAGAGTGTAAAAACACGAAACAAAAATTATTTTTGTATCAAACTGTCACTCTCTTCCTTGTGGATGTAATCGACAGATATTGGATGAAAATAATATTTTTCCATCTCTTATATTCAGAATATAAGAGAAGGAAAACTAGTTTGAAGAGCTTTTTTTCTTAAACTGAGTTTAAGAAGTAATTCTAAAGTGACTATTATCCTTTCCAGAAGTCAAGGCAGTCGGTTGTTTTTTGAATAACTTTTGATACGAACAAGATGAAGACGTGCAGTTTTCGTCATTCGAAAGAGGAGGCTTGGATGCATGTTTTTATAACCAATATCATTTTCAGACGAGTTTTTAAAACAGGTTTCTTCTTTGAGTTTTTGAAATAGGTTTCCTAGGAGATCTTTGGAAAACTCTGTAAAGATCAAGTCGTCTGTAAAGATTTTCCAATAGGATTGTATTGCTTTTTTCTTATGGACTGATAGCTCAGGGTGTCCTCTTCAAAATGGGAGTAAACTGATGAGGGAACCTCTTGAGGTTATAAATCACTTTTGAAGTCGGACTACTTGTATCTTGTAGACCTCAGTGAGTAGTAAAATACCCTAAGTTGGTTCATCCCCGTAGTGCTTTGTTGCTGAGATATTGAATTTTTAGTTAGTTTTTGCCTATAGAGCTTGAATTTCGAGCAAAATCCGACTTTCGAATTTTGACTTGAAACTTGCCACACTATTTCACCTGAAGGTGAGAGTGAGGGTCAGATGTTCGAGTCTCAATATCTCAAGGCAGGAAAATTCATTAGGATCGAATTTTTTCTCATCGTACTACTATGGCCATGGGCTACCAGTGTGGCAAGTTTCAAGTCAAAATTCGAAAGTCGGATTTTGCTCGAAATCCAAGCTCTATAGGCAAAAACTAACTAAAAATTCAATATCTCAGCAACAAAGCACCATGGGGATGAATCAACTTAGGGTATTTCACTACTCACTGAGGTCTACAAGATACACGTAGTCCGACTTGAAAAGCGATTTATAACCTCAAGAGGTTCTCTCGTGAGACCTTGATTTCCACGGTTCGGGCGTTGTATCGAATTTTCTACAAGCCCAAGGACTGGCACCCGGTGACTATCGGTAGCCTTAAAAACTGATGGACTATGGGTAATCGACCATGCTGAGTTTCGTGGAAATATTTATTTTTAGAAAAAGTTTTAAAAATCTACCGAAAAGCCAGTTTTGCAAAAATTAGGGTTTTCAAGCTGTTTTTATCTAATATTAAAAAATTCACTATTCACTTAAACAACATCCGAACAAGCTCAAATTCTCAGGATATGATTAATGTTGTCCGCTAAATGTGATTGAAAGATCTAAAAGCATATTTTTGTTAATAGGTTTTCCAGAAACCCTCTTGGAAAATCTAAGAGCTCTGTAAAATTTATTTTGAGATCTGCTATGAATAGGATATAGAATAGCTTAAATACTCTACATTCTGAAGTTTTGAGCTTGTTCGGATGTTTTTTAAGTGAATAGTGAATTTTTTAATATTAGATAAAAACAGCTTGAAAACCCTAATTTTCGCAAAACTGGCTTTTCGATAGATTTTTAAAACTTTTTCTAAAAATAAATATTTCCACGAAACTCAGCATGGTCGATTACCCATAGTCCATCAGTTTTTAAGGCTACCGATAGTCACCGGGTGCCAGTCCTTGGACTTGTAGAAAATTCGACACAACGCCCGAACCGTTCAAAAACAAATTCAAAAAACAACCGACTGCCTTGACTTCTGGAAAGGATAATAGTCACTTCAGAATTACTTTTTTTCTCGAATTTGTATTGATAACACACAGTTAGTGGGAACGTCAGTTTTTCAGCGCTCCCGAGAGACTTCCCAACCGCAGAACTTTCCCAGCAGAAACCTTGGGTGAAGATTATGACAGCAGACATCTTGAGCTATCCAATAATGTGCTTTGCTTAATATTGACATTTTTACAAAACTTTTTCTTCTAGTATTACTAGTATGTTTCTTTATGACTCTAATAAAATTTAATCGAGATAACCCCGGATTTCGCTTCAAAACTCGATAAAATACTTCGTAAAACTTGGATGGATCTGTAGACTTTACAGGTATATAGAACATATTACGATTAATCTTTATTGCCTTAGAGGGAGCGTAAATACGACTTTATTTCAGTATTTTATGGAGCCTTGAAGAGAAAGGTTATCTCGATTGAATTTTATTAGCTCATAAAGAAAGCTACTGGTAATACTAAAAGATTTTTTTGCTTTAAAATAATTACAGGGTTTACGAATATTGGCTAATTTCCGAGTTAGAAAAAAAAATTTGATTTAATCTTATTTTGATGTTTTACTTTCACTTTATTTCATGTTCTACATAGAACTAATGTTTTTTTTGAAACGACTGATTGTTCACGATAGAGTCTAGCGTGAAAGGGTTTAGAAATGGTTGCACTTCTGTATACCCGTTTAAGTTTCGTAATAAGCCTTTTTTTCGAGCGTGCTATTCATCAACTTGGACTGAAACTGAATCCAGTGGGCAGCAACAAATGACAAATATCGTTAATTTGTCAGCGTATAATTTTGTGATAATCCGGCAACTACCAACTTGACAACAAGCAACGTTTCGATGTTGACGTCATCAGACAATGTAGATAATTTTTACAAAGGCGCACACATTATAGATAGTAAAATTAATTCATTTTTCCTGTTTTCTCTCCTCTTGTGGTATTTTCTATTGATAAAGTGGAATAAAGGAGAAGTATTTTAGGGGGTTATTTAGGTATCAATCTCTCTTCTTTACTTAAACAAGAATGCTCCATCTATAAATACCATAACTTTAAAATGTTGAACTGTTATTAACACACTTGAACCATTCAATCGCCGCCCGCCGCTACAAATGAGGACTAGCTATGGAGACATATCTTCTGTGAACGCCGCTAGTCATCTCTTCATTCGTGGGACTTCAATACTGGTACGTTCAAGAAAATGAGATGAACGCCTTTCTCATTCTGGAACGAAGACAAACGCGTTGTGAGTTTGAACGCAATGAAATGACCTCTTTTCTACAATGGTTTTTTCTCGTGTTTTTCCATTGAGAAAATTGAAAATTACGATTTTTGGTTTTGCAGAAATGTTTCTAATGTCAAGGTGCTCTACTTTCTCCCCCCTCCAGAATAGACGGCCAGTCTGGGGTGAAATTTTTTGAAAAACGCCCTATAGGGGTAGGATAATTTTTCACCAAAAAACGTGCGATGTGCAAAACCATCATAGAAGGCCATGGCCTTCTACTCTGGGAGGGGAAGTACCCGTCACACTTTCTAGTCTGACGGTTATCCAGCGCTAGGGCGGTTCGCATGTAAGGAAGCTCTTACCAATCGTGTTCTAATAATTCGTTTTATTTAGTTGCTCTCTTTCCATTTTTTTCTTAAAAGAAAGATTTAGCTTTAGAAAAAAAATCGATGTTTAAACAAACACAAAAATGACAAAAACTGATTTTCTGCAATCAACTTGATTTCTTCCATAGCAACAGTTCAATCTAATTCAGTTTCAAGTTACTTTTGTTAAAATAGAATATTAAAAATGTACCGGCGCTAGCTGAAATTGATAGATGAAGTTTCTGGTCTTCAATTATTTCGATAAGAGATTCATGATGATAGCGACTTCGACTCCAAAAACATTTGTAACGGCATCGTAACCATTACAGAGGGGTTAGGACACTTTTTTTCTCTATATATTATATCTATCAAATTGTAGCTCAACAAATTCTCTATCGAATAGTATATTTATTGTAGTGATCGCATGAAAATGTTGACATAGGATATCCGAGACGTTTTGCATGGAGGAGATCATTTTCCATAGGTAGAAGTATTTCTAAACATACTTGGCCCCAGAACGACTACTTCTGTACAGAAATATTGCGAATAAAAAGAGCTTTTGAATTATATATAATAGTCGTGCGGAATTGTGAAACTGAGAGAGAAAGATCAAAAATACGATCTATAATACACATCAGATGCAGTAGAAAGTTAATCAAATTTGATTCGACCTATTTATTTCGGAGAGTGGTTCTAAGTTCTAGTAAGTACTTGGAAATATTCCCTTCTTCATTCTACATCTAGCCTTTGATTAGTCGATGAAATTCAGGTATGGGCCAATTTCATCAGATAATCGGACCCGTCCTTTTTTGCCTTTCGTTCGATAAAGGCTCTGAATATCCGTGAACAGGATTTCGGATTTCTTCCTTAAAGCCATGAGCTAAAGTAAATTAGCATGATGAAACTTATCCAATGGTTTTTTCAACGTAAAGTATCAAATATTGAAAAATCTGAATAGTTTATTCTTAATTTCGTTTTCTTGCATGTACGAACAGAGCTTGTCGCAATAGTGCGATTTGAACTTCAGAGGCGACTGACTAATGTTCCAAATGTTCTAAACGTTGTTGTAATTTCGTAATTGTCTGTTTTAATTGATCTACTTGTGCTATTTGCTTCAAATCAAGTTTAATTGTTCGTAATTGTTTTGAATCATTCACATCTAACATCTTTAATTGTGTTTGTATTTGTATTTGAACACTTTTACCATTGTCTTTTATTGCTATATAACCATGGTTGTCTTTAGTCAATAGTAAATCTTTAATTAGTTCATACAGTGCATCATTCGTTTGACATAATGTATCAGTTACCAAGGAACAATTTGAATTTAAATATAAATTATGATATTGAGTTTTTCGATGACTATCTTCAACGTCGATTGATAACAAATTGTCGCTACCCAGTTTCAAATTAATCTTGTAGTCATTTAATGTATGATCGAATTCTCTATTCACAATTGTACACATTTTAACATGAAGTATAACGAAAATGTATTTGCACAATACTTTACAGTCACTAAACAAGAACGGATGAAAAAAACCGTTATGTATTGCAGAACAACAGAAAGAGAAATATTTTGTTATTTACCATTCAGAATGTACAGAAAAACTTGCATCATGATTTTCGATGCATAGTCGAAAGGAAAGAAAACACTTTATACTGAAATTTTTAATATTAATCCCCTGAAGTCTGTTCAGAATACGCATTATGAATAAAATTTGACACTTTATAATAATAAAATATTTCCATTCTCCAAAAAAAAAAAAGCATCATGCAAGAACATTCTTGATGTCGTCTGTCTATGAAAATGATATTTTTTCCAACTGCTGGACAAGTGGCAGTCAACCTTACCGGTACCACCAGAATTAAATGAGACCTGTTTTACATTTGATCTCGAGAAAACATGATAGTTATGTTAACCCTTTACTCCTCCTTGAGTCATTTTCGACCCATCCGTAGAAATGATGCAGTGGAGTAACAAGGCATCGGATCTAGAAGCTTTATGAACATTGTGTAGAGAATTCAACAAGCTCTAGATTCATAAAAAATAAGAGTTCAAAGATTGGTTCGATGACAGGTATCCATCTGCACCTGAACGCAAAGATGAACCAAATGATCAATATTCACTACAACATGCAATTAAACTCGTCTTTAATCAATGGTTAGACAAGGAGCTCACGTTGAGTAACTGGGGATGTGGTATTGATGAACGTTTGGCAACAGGTATACCTCAAGCATTAGTTGGGATGGATCGTATTCGATGTTTAGCTGGTGAACGAGAAATACGTCAATTACAAACACAATATGCAATAAATGACTGTTTATCATTAACAAAATTAATGTTTCCCGTCGTATATGATTGGACACCAGAACAAGTGGAAAATTACGAAACATCATTGCAATCATTAACATTAGCCTCGTTAAAATTAGAACATTAGCCTCGTAGAATTACAATATGAAGATATTTCAGATGATGAAGACATGGGATTGATACCGGTTCATGTACAAGATGAACCGCTCTTTCATTCTCCCGTACCAGCCGAAGTGCGTGATGAGTTAGTAGTCCATGTACAAGATGGACTCACCGAACCGTCGCCATTACAGTACGAACCTATTTCTGATGATGAAGAAGATCAAAATATTGTTCCACAGCATAACCCTTCGTCAATGCATAATCGTCTAGTAACACCTCAACGAACTGTTCGAATAGAAAAACGTCGTTCTTGACAATGTTCTTGTAGTTTTTTCTTCCATCGTTAATCGTTAAAATCAGTCAGATTTTTCTATTTAGTCAACTACCGGTGAACATTTTCACATTTTCAGTTTTGCTAAAATTTTCTTTCTGACTTCCTATTTTTCAGCAGTTTAGTGTGTGAGGACACCCACTTTTATTGGTGGGGAGGATTGTTACAGGCTAGAGCCTTACACATACCGTTTGAATAGTTCTAAATCGAGGCCTTCCATTTTTCCATTTTTCTTTTTCGTTGTTATATCATATACATCTAGAGATGTTTTAGTACATTTTCCTTTTTTCTTTTTCGTTGTTGTATCATATACATCTAGAGATGTTCCACTACATTCTTTTTTTTCTTTCTTTATATTCAAGAAGTTTTCGTCCATACATATTTAGATTGTTTTCATTTTTCTTTTGTCCTTTTTCGTCATATATATATTTAGTGCGTCAGATTAAAAGATGGTTCGTTATTGTTTTTCTTCCACGTGTACAGTAGACACATTTTGTTGTACAGTTCCTGTTTTATACTATTAAAATCAAGTAAAAATATAAAAAACCTGGATATATAACGACATATATAGGTAAGTGCAGGGACACCGCTTATATTTTGGAGAACATGAATCATTTACAAAATTACAATAAACAACAGTCTCTCTATGTCCTTTCACAAATATATTGCACCAAGACCTGACCGATCCGAAATTCTTAGAAGCTGACTCACTTTTAGGGAAATAGATAGGTGTTCGTTAAAAAAAAATCGTTTATATTTTTGATCGCAGAATAGTTCACTATGCCTAAATTAAGTTTATATTACACCTTTTAGCATTAATTCGTCGCTATAAACAGTGACTTGTTCATTAGTTTCATCATCAAATTTGATCAATATATTTTCCAATAAACTTAAAACCAATGAAACTTGTTCAAGTGTTGGGTAGAGTTCATTATCAAATTCTTTCGTCCTAGCGCTGGTTAATCGAACTTCGATTCTAATGGAACGAAAATAAAGCGTTCGACCATGGAATCAACAGCGGCTTGTTTTTTCGTCTCATCGCTAATATGGATTGAATGACTTCACCTGTTGATGCTGCCGTGAGAATTATTCTAGCATTGCTGATTTCAATAATTTCATTTGACAATATTTTTCGGTACTTTTCTGGGCAATTCCACGTTTGCAATAAAAGATTGCGACAATCAAATGGACTTGGATGCTTTCCTTAAAAGACAAAAATTGTCTCACAGATCAAAATAAAGTAAACTGTTATCTTTTCATTTACGAATTAAGAGAAAATAATACAAAAAATGAGTTTCTTGGAGTTGAAAGTATTTGTTTGAAAAGGTTAACTGCCGTTTGAGTGACCCTATATTTTCCAAAAAAATTGGGCCAGTTTGTATAAAACTATCGTTTTTGACTTATTGTGCTCAGGCAGTCACTCTCATCCCCTCTCACATTCCCTTTCTGCTATTCTCTATAGCATTACTATTTCCTCCAAATTAATTGAAGCATAAGGTCGCTCTAAATCTCGGTTGACCATTTGTAAGGACTGTACCTTACTACTTAACGACTAACCTAAAGCTTATATAGGCGAAAAATATTAGTTAAATATTTTCCTCGATTCAGTCCGCTGCTGAACTATCGAACGAGAGACGCAAGACATTTTTCACGGGTGCAGACTAAGACTTTTAAGGTAGAACTAGTCATATAGTTTTGATTTTTAGCATTCGTTGCAGTAAATGTTGATACAGTAAATTATGTTTTTTCAGATATTCGATGGCTAGAACAGTGCTTATTTTCGAAACTTGAATTTGTACTCTCATACAGTAAATGATTTAGTGAAAGTTTCTAGCAGTTGTAAGATTAT